AAAACAGCATCCAGACATTTTTTCAAGGGGGTACCTTATGAGTGGCTCAGTTACTCAATAATATGAATGTTTGGATGGTACTCTATTGTGCCAAGCAACTTTTGGGGTCGAAAAAAAAAACAAAACCCTTGAAAGTAAATTGAAATCAATTGAAAGTCAATTGAACGTAAATTGAATTCAATTAAAAGTAAATTGAAAATCAATTGAAAGTAAACTGAAATCAATTGAAAGTAAATTGAAATCAATTAAAAGTAAATTGAAATCAATTGAAAGTAAATTGATTTCAATTCAAAGTAAATTGAAATCAATTCAAAAAAATTGTTGAGGGTGGGGGGGCGCAAAAAAATTGTCAGTTATTGAGTAGACTAAAATTGTTTGAGGGGGGGGGGGGCCCGCCCACTAATCAGTCGACAACATTACTATATATTACGTATTAAGTTATCAAGATGGTAATGCGCATGGGGCGGCTGAACCTGTGTCTATCATGCCTATAGCTATACTGTTTTTTCTTAGGAGGGTCGCTGCAGGGCCAACAACATGATCATGTCACAATTAATTTTCATGTAGCTGAAAATATTGATTTCAAATGACCACGTATAGGCAAGTTTAATGCAAGTTCCAAAACCAGGACTTCAAAAATGTCAGTATAATGCTGCATGTATACTATATTGGCTGCAGCCATTGCAGCATACGTTACAAATCGTTACAATATATTGTATAGTGTATTTTATTATATGTTGTTGATTTGTATTGGCAAGAGGACTCCAAAAGTGACGGGCATGTGTCGGGCCATGTCGGGCCTGCACTGCAGTGTCTTTGCGCGGAGCAAAGGGCATGAAAAAAGCTGCTCCGACAAGGGATCCCCATAGAAATCCACAAATGGTCCATCCATAAATATCATGAAATCCGATTCCAAGTTGCCCGGCTTCAATAGCCGTTCGCCATCCCCATGCATGCAATAGAATGGAAGAAATCATGCAACAAATGATCTGAATGGGGGTGAACCAGCGGTGGGGGGTGACAAGCGGCGCGTTTGTATACAAACCTGTGAAGCCGTAGGCTGTAGCTGGCATCTTTTGGCTCGAAGTCGGCAGGGCTCAGCAGTTACAATTAAAAACGCAGCTGTGACCCGCTGTGAGGCCCTTGAGACTCTTAGATTCTTAGATGTCTTGGACTTAGAACTTGGCCAAGTCCTTCCACTCAGAGAGGGCTCTGCTCGCAGCAGAAAAATCATCCTGTGCCCTGGCCCATTGTTTGTTGCCACCATCCACACCCAAAGTGGAAACTTTTTGCGAGAATTCGCGGGCTTTACCGTACGCTTTAGATCCCTCATCTCCAGAGAAGTAGAACATATCTTCCTTGAGGGAGCCACCAGCCTCCAGCAAATTGGCCCTGAGGTTCTGGGCCTGCTTGGTCTTGATGTACTCTGGTGTGGCCTCAAATCGCTGGAAAGCTGCAGTCAATGCTTTCTTTTTCCTGTCAACTTCATCCTGGTTCCTGGCTCGGTACACTGTGTCCGTGCCATCACTGAATTGCGAGTAGGGGTTGATTGGATTGTCGTTCTGCGAGTATGCATCTGATTGACCACTGCCAAAGCCAAAGACTGAAAACGTAGGCACTTCTGCCATTGCTGGGCTGGCGGCGCTCACCACTGCGGCAGCTAACAAAGCACCGGGCGACACAAAGGCGTCTGAGCTTTGTCTAAGCATCAGAACAGCCGCCAGAGTCAGGAGCACCTTGGATAAGAGCTTCTTGTTTGCCATGTCAACAGCTACGATGCCGTAAATCCCTGCCTTTTCTGAGCCACAAAAATGCTGCAGCCATACAAGTTGGAATTCAATGGCAATCCTCTCGAAAAACTTGTCCAAAACCAATCGTTTCATGAGTTTGATGGCTTAACATCCCGTTATCCTTCAACTTTCAGCATTGCAATCATGGCCTGAAAAAAAGGGATACATCAACTTGGCATCATCCCAATTCAGGCCCCAACCTTCACATCTTCTGTTTCGACATCTTGCACTTGGGGCTCAACACTCGGCCTGAAGGAACATGAAACCAAATAGAAAATAATGCCTTCGCAATTCTTCCAGAAAATGCCGCTTTGATGTCGCTTCCTTTGTGGCATAATTTATATTTTGTTGCCAGGCCCCAACAAAAAATACGAAATATTGCCCGCACTTTGCGACCTGGCTATGCAATTTGGATCAAAATAAAGTCTTGCGTCGAAGCAGGATCTTTCCTCCATATCCCCCATGCACAGCGCCTGGAAGTTCCAGTCGCAGATTGTTTGGTTTCATCAATTGCTGTTGCTGCGCCCTTCTGCGACAGCGTTCCAGCTTCGGAAGCTTCTGCGATGATTTCTCCTTCTGGCGGATCCGGTGCCCTTGGCTCTGGATTCGTTGCTGCTTGCTTGACAGCTTCTAGTGCTTTCTCGGGCTCTGCTTGGACCACCTGTTCAGCAAGACATGTCAGGCATAGGATCTGAGGATGCAATCCAATGTCATTCATACCCTGCCAAATTCCATGATTACAACTAGATACAACTATATAGTCAAGAATAGCAATCTGAAAGGGTTGGCACATGGCCGGCCTGAAATGAGACAAGACTCTTTCAGCTTTTTGGAGAAAACTATTCAATTAATTTCAATTATATAAATCAATATCAGAATTCAGAAGGTGTTTCAGGTACTTCAACAAGGGCTCATTCAGCATTCCAGCAGCACCTTTTGTTGCTGCTGAGTGGTCGTTCGAGACAAACATTCAGCTGGAGATGAGACGAGTCGATAGCAGAGCATGTGTATACAAAATGTATGTGCCTCTGCCCGGCTTCACCCACCAGGTGAAGAATGCGGGGGGCATTCAACCCTGAACCCTAAGCGTGAAACTGCACGAGACACCAGTCATTTGCGGCTGGTGAATTAGATTGTCATTGCACCGAATTACTTCGATACTTCGTGCCCACAGCACGCTACGCGAACAGAATAATTTGCAAGCATACATACAACTGTAATTGTTTATTATAATATAGTGATATATAGTGTGTATACACAATTGTCCAGTGAACTTCTTGGCTTCAACTAACACACCCCTAGGGCACCATTGACTACTGTCAGCTCAGTATATACACAATCCAACATCGTTGGATCCTGTCTAACCGTTGTCTACAAAAAAGCCTGACAGTGGATGTCGACATTAAAATCTACCAGGGTGCATCCCTCAGTGCTGACCAGCACGCCTTAGTTTCTCCAAGGCCGTCCCTCTCCTTCTGGCAGCCATCGTTGCAAGAGTCAAATGGGTTTGACGTTTTTGAAGCGCAGTGCGATTCCCATAATTACCGTACTGTATTACAAAGATAATAAATTCGAAGCCACCACAGCTCAAGCTGCTTGACAAGAATTGCAAAACACGGATAGACTATTTTAAACATAATAGGTAATTGTATATATATATATATATATATAGGTATGATGAAGAGAGTGCTTCTACAAACATGAAATCCGCCCCAGATATTAGCCAGGAGACAGTCACCTCAGTTTCCGCCGCAGTGGGCTCAACTGGCACACTCTCAGCAAATCGCCAACGCACTGGAGAATCGTCAGCAAGACCTGAATGAGAATGATAATGATAACACGAACGCAAAGCTCCAGATCGACTGGCAAAAATGAATCTTCAAATCAAGCCTCCTGCAGAACAATGGCCAGCAAAAGGTGTTGATAAATTTAGTGTGAACAACCAGGCCCTACAACCCACCAGTTGCACTCAAACCCATGTAATTAGGCTCCTGCAACTGAGCCAGCATAGGAAAGAGGCATTGAATATTGAATGAAGAAATAGCCTCTTGAATGTGACTGGGCGTCCCATTGGCTAGCTGTTGACTGGCACCACAAAAACACATCCATGTTTAATTCTCAGGAAATGTACAACATCTCTGCGCGTCTGTGCATGGCAAGCAACAAGGTTCTGGGGTTGCCAGTTCTGGCGACATCAGCAAAGCGCGAGACACTCGTGGAGTTGGCCCCACAGTTGCGGCTGCCAGCCTTTTCTTCTTCCTTTCTGGTGTGGACGGAGCATCCTGAGCACCGAAGCCATTGCGAACATGTCAGTGTTCAAACCCTTTATTCACCATTAGATATCACGGCCCATGCCCATGCCAAAAAAAAACACATATTGCCAAACTAGCTTTGTCGGATGGATGTAGGTTGAGTCCTGGGGACCCGAACTAAAGCATCCTTGCGTTTGTGAGCCAACGCGGGCGTTGCCACATCACGAGGGATCTTCAAGTCCTGAGAGAAAGCATGACAACGCTGTTTTGCATGACGTCACAGTATGTGGCCCTCCACGGTTAACTTGAGATAACTTGTGTCATAATCATAAATCATAAGATAAGATATCAGAATTATATATATTTAATATATTCCCGATCAGGAGGGTCCGATGAAACAGGTGTTATTGTGAGCAGCTACTTTTATGTTTCTTGCTCGATGTTTATAATGCGAAAGGTGGAGCGATGATATAGCTGGCACCCAAAGCAGTACAAAGACAAAATTTGAGTCGACAAAACTTCCTGTCAAAATGTCCGGACCGTCACCCAGACTTGCCCATCCTGCCCATATAAACATCGGCAATTAAACCTTTCAACATGTCGGCAAGCTCTCTCATGCAAATTTCGATTTTTGCCAAGGGTCTGGATGAGCCAAAAGACCAAACCGTCGCTTTTCCACCACAGAGTTCGACATCTGATCTCGCAGTTTTCCTTATTGAGAACGGCAAAGCTGCAAAACAACGAAGAGAAACGAATCTCCAAGCAAAATGTAAATTGTTCGCAGAACAACAAGCTTGACACGACAGTCGTATCAATTTCCCCTTGTCGCTGCTGAGCTTCTTTCCTGGCCAGAGGCCTGACAAAGTCTTAATTAAGACGCATATATAAATATACTAAAACATCCACCGTGAATCAATCTTTTCATTGATGCCTCACTTTACGAGCGGGAAATGGCCAGATCACCGTTACAAATGCCCAAGCTGGAGGAAAGCGGGGCAGGAGTGATTGCTGGGGTTCGTTGATGCCGTTTGACTCTCTCCAGATCAAACACAAGAATAGCCAGTAAAATTCCAATTCACCCTTGTCGATTCATGACAACGATGCAGGTTCATTTATATTATATATTAATATATGTGTGTGTGTTGAAACACAGTCAATTTGGCATTATATGTTATGATGTTATATGTTTGTTTGGCGCATTGGCAAGTTAACATGTGTGACCATTATGTGACATGTCTTGCCCGTGCCTGGACGATCTGCATGAGAGATGGCTCCATGGCGGATCCCTGACTTGATGGTGTGGCTGGCATCGATGTGTCAGAGATTTGCTTTCCCAAGTGTTTCCTCAGCTGAAGCTCGCAACAGTCCATGTCACTACGTAGATGATTCATGATGATTCCGCGTTCTAATGATTCCAATGGTTCCATGTGAAGTTCTATGATTCTATAATGGTTTTATACTAATGTCCTTCTCCACAGCTTCCATGCAAAAATGGCCCAGGTAGATCTAGATGGCATAAAAGATGTAGATACATTGTGATCCATCCAGATTCCGTTGCTGTACTTTTTCATTCCTATACCGTTTGGCGCTGAGAAGGGAAGGCGATACAGTTGGCTTGCATAGAAATTGAAAATAAATTAAGCAGTTCCATATGCTCCAGGTATAGCATCTGATCCAGGTGAAATTAGCCCTGCACCCCTCTGCTCCCTTAGTCAGGCAAGGAGCTTCTGTGTTTTTTGTCGCGGAGGGCAGCCCAACACTTGTCTTGCCTTGATTTCGTCCTCCTCGTCCAATGAAATTCCGCAATAATGAAGAAGTGTCTGGCCGGAAGGCACCGAGATGCAAAGGCATGAACTGCAGTCTAATTCCAATGCGATTTTTCTTTTAGTCAAGCCTGTTTTGCGAATAATGATAATGTAGTATCCCGATTAGTGTGGGGATACTGTATTGACCCAGTGGAATTGCTGGGGTGGGTCGGTATTGTGGCATTTTTTTTTTCTGAGGCCATTTTTTTTCAGCATGTTGTGGTTTCAGTTTTTCATTTTTTGAAATGTTTATCATCGTTTAAACTATTCAAACAATCAACTACTTATATCGCAACATGTTTTTAAACATAAAATGAAAGAACAAAATCAACATGCCAAGTATTTTGTTGAAACCCCATATTAAAAAAAAAAAACAGCACCCAAACAATTTTTCAAGGGGTAGCCCATGACCAGCATTGATCTTCAATAGTATGTTTGTTGTGGTGGACCTCGGTTGTGTACAGTTTTTTTTTGAAGTGTTTTTTTTCCAAAATCCGTTTCTCATTTCCTTCGCTACAGCTTGTGTCCCTTACTTAGTTCAATTGTCCTGGCATCCTCTGCTTGATTTCTATGGTGTTTCTATGGAATTTCTATAAAGTTTCTATGGGAATTCTATGGAATTTCTATGGTGTTTCTAAAGGGGTGTCTGTGGTATTTCTATGGGGTTCCTATGGGGTTTCAAAAGGATGTCTATGGTATTTCTATGATATGCCTATAGGATTTCATTGGGATTTCCATGATATTTCTATTGGCGTTCTTTGGGATTTCCTTGATATTTCTATGGTATTTCTATGATATTTCTATAGGATTTCTTTGGGAATTCTATGGGGTTTCCATGAGGTTTCTTTGGAATTTCTATGGTGGTTCTATGATATTTCTATGATATTTCTATGGGAATTCTTTGGGATTTCCATGGTAGTTCTATTGGATTTCTATGATATTTCAATGGGATTACTATTGGATTTCTATGGGATTCCTATGGCATTCCTATAGGATTTCCATGATGGTTCTATGATATTTCTATGAAATCACTATGGGATTTCTGAAAGGATGCTATTACGGATGCTATGGGATTTCTATGGTATTCTTATGGGATTTCCATTGGATTCCTATGGGGTGTCTATGATATTTCTATGATGTTTCTATGGGATTTCTTTGGGATTCCTATGGGATTTCCATGATAGTTCTATCATATTTCTATGAAATTACAACGGGGTTACTATGGGATGTCTGAGGGAATTCTATGGGAACGCTATGGGATTCTTATGGGGTTCTTATGGGATGTATTTGTGGTTCCTATCCTACTTCCATGTTATTTCTAAAATCTTTCTATGGGATGCACATTAAAAGCAAATTAAAATCAATTGAAAATCAATTGAAAGTAAGTTGAAATCAATTGAAAGTACATTGACATCAGTTGAAATTAAATTGAAATCAATTGAACATCAATTGAAATCAAATTGAAAATAAATTCAAATCTATTGAGCGTAAATTGAAAATAAATTCAAATCTATTGAACGTAAATTGAAATCAATTATACAAAAGTAAATTTCAACCAATTGAAAGTAAATCAATTGAAAGCAAGTTGAAACCAATTGAAAGTAAATTTAAATCAATGGAAAGTAAATTGAAATCTATTGAAAGTAAGTTGAAATCAATTGAAAGTAAGTTGAAATCAATTGAAAGTAAGTTGAAATCAATGGAAAGTAAGTTGAAATCAATGGAAAGTAAGTTGAAATCAATGGAAAGTAAGTTGAAATCAATGGAAAGTAATTTTAAATCTATTGAAAGTAAGTTGAAATCAATTGAAAGTAAGTTGAAATTAATTGAAAGTAAATTGAAACCAATTGAAAATCATTGATCGTAACTTGAAAATAGATTTGAATCAATTGAAAGTAAATTGAAATCAATGGGAAGTAAATTTCAACCAATTGAAACTAAATAAAATCAATTGAAAGTAAGTTGAAATCAATTTAAAGCAAATTAAAATATTTACTCAAGATCATGATCCAAAATCATTCAGACCACGACCCTTCAGAAGTTACTAGCCTAAAGAGGCACTTTCAAATGTTTATGGGGGGCTCTACACTAATCAAGATCCAAAATTAATGATATTGAAATTGCAAGCTATCAATCAAGGCAAAGTAGGAGTACTCAGCACAAACATTACTGCATAGAGTGTCACATAGTGTTGCACGCTGTCGCAAAGATATGTGCTTATTTTCGAAATTCCGTTTCACCTCAATGACTGACTGAGTGGCTTAAGAAGTTTAACTTGCGACAAAAATGTTAGAGCATGCCTTGATCTATCTAAATCTAATCTAATCTATCTATAGTGTATATATATATGTATATATGCACGCTCCCGAGAATTTTGTCGCCAAGCTCCTCACACGGCACAGGGTGTGCATGCAAAGTCATTATCACACTACTGCTGTTGTATCTCTCTTAGCTTGTTTCAATCAATCTTGCCGCACTGCTTTTCATCCCTTATGGCCGGCCACTCTAGAATCTATGGAGGCGCCCAAGGCAAAGTCATACAAGTATTATGTATAAGAAAGCACACTTTGCAGAACTGTATCACACTGTGCAGAAGTACTCACAAAACACTGCGCATGTCTCGGGCAGTTAGCCGTAATTGCGCGTGTGAATTCACACCGTGTTGGGACATCAACATCGCGAAGCTTGATGTCCAACTGCCCAGGTCTGCCACTTTCATGCTTCGAGTCAGGATTTCAGAGACTGTGGTGGGAGGACCTCCGTTACAAGACAGGTACCTCAATGATGCACATAATATATGTATATATATTTATACAGTAATAGGTTTTTGTACAAAATTATTGTTACATACTACACATTACATATTACAGTAGTCATATTACATATATTATCATAATATGGATACTGGATACGTATGGTGTGCAGCATGCTGCATCGTAGAAACACATGGTATATTTTTTTTGTGTGCACTACCTATACGCTCACATATCATAGGCATAGACCATCACAGACCTCTCTCCCCTATAGATTGTATAAGTATTATAAAATTATTAATTGGATAATCATATGATAAAATATACGTATACATAATATATATATAGTGTATATATATATATGTATCATATACACATGATATATATATAATAATAATAACAAAAATAATAATAACATTATATATATATATATTAGATACATATTGGCATGCCTGCTCACTCCTTAAAAGCATGCCCAAGCTGCCTCTCCCACATATTCCAGTGGCACGTCGCGCACGTAGAGGGGCAACAACTGCAGGTCTAAAAAACTGCCAAAGGTCTGCAGCAGCTCCTGGTCCTTAGCAGTTGCGTCCCTGTTGACACTCATCTCATGAGATCTTAGATATATATACGTATATATATATAATTATATATATATATATGTCATTAATTTATTATGATAATATCTAGATCGTAATGTCATAGAATCAGAGTCAGGGGAGTAGATATTTCATATAATTATGTCATATGATTGGCGGCTAAATCGTTTGGGAACAGCCAAAAGAGACTCCAGGAATCAAAAACATGATTGCACTTGAAACAATTCCTCTGGGAAAGGATATCTGGAAAAGTTTGCCTCGCCGACCAAGCCTACCTGCTCAATACAGAGCAGCAAATCGATACATAACAAATGGAAATGGAAACTCACAGGGCAGGGCAAACGGTTCACATGCTTCATAAGCCACATTCGGGGTGGGGTTCTCTTTGGTCATAGATTTTGGCTCACTTTAATCATGAATGGAAAAAACATTGACAGATTCACTTTGGTCGAGTCTAGTCCAATAGAAATATGGGATCACTGGGGTGGTACAGTAAATTGAATCATTTTCTTCCCGAACCTCAAAGCCAAGGACAACGGGCACCTGCAATGACAAAAAGACCTCTGAGAAGCTTGTTGATGCCTGTCTTACTGTCTTACCCATCATCAAGGAAAGACTCGCGTGGTAGTGCCTGACATGGTGGTAGTCAATACGCTGCAAAAGAATATTGTGCTCACGTTTGGTACTAAACAGCTAAGCCTAGTTGCAATAGTTCCGTCCTGTGCAACACCGTGAAGAGCTTCCTTCCCTTCCGCCACCTTGCCCTGCTTCAGGTCCGCTGCATAACGTTGAGCTTCTTCATGCAATTCATCCATCTCTACCTGCGGAGGACCCAGTTGCAACACGCAAAGCACATTTACATCCACTCAATTGCACCCAAAACCTGACTGATTTGTGCTTATTTCATTCATGGAGATGCCCACTGTCTCAATGTGTCTCACAGAAAAAACCTTTCGTCTTAACAATCAAGTCCTGAATGAACTAAGTAACTCTTTGGTCCTGTCTGACACTGCTTCTTTTTGAAACTATGGGTTGGAATTGGCAGGCGGGGTGGTGCTTGGTGATGGCCTGGTGGAGCTAGAACCACATGGATTATCCATGATGATCCCTGTCTCAAAAGACAACACCACTCAGCAAACCAACACTCTACAGTACTCTTCAGTTGAGTCATCCAGAATTCCAGCCTGCACGGATCTTAATAAAGACCCGGCTCGTAGAAAACCAGACCTAACATTGCCGGAACGAGTCTAGCAATCGACGACCATGACCGCCTCATGGCCTCTGTGATGCACAATGCCCCCCTGGAACTGGCTGGCAAGGTGGTGTGACGGATTGGCTAAACAAATATTCAACAAATACTGGCACAGCTCTGACAAACACACCAAGGAACGACATGAGTTTTTGGTACTCAGCACTTCCAGCCGCTGGTGTTGCTGGCGTTCGCGGCGTGGCTTCAAGATGGCTACTTGCTGGTGTGCTGGGCGCCTTAGCAGAAAAACATGGAAAAAAAGCATGTTGGAGTTCCGAGTTCCGAGGGCCTGGCGGCTTCCTCTAGGACTGGATGCTTTGTATCGTATGGATTCTTCTGGCAAATAGGGGGGGTTAGCCAGGGACTGTGCTGTACTTCCACGGTGCTTATGACTGTAGATGAATGTTTGAGAAAGAACCCGGTGACAAGGATTGACGGACAACACAAATGCCACGGTTACGGTTGTCATTGGTATTGATGATGGTGATGGCCATGCTGATGCCAATGCTGATGACGATGACGGCGATGACGACGACGTCAACGATGATGATGGCCATGATGGCCATGACGAGGACGCAAATGACGACAGCAATATTGATGTACACATTATGATTCAGCAATGAGGCGGGACACTGCATGGCATATCTCCCTAGCAAATTGTTGATATATAGCAAGGAGAAAATGAACCTGGCTTTCAACGAGTAGCATTGCTCATGCTGTCCAGCAAGTTTGATCCGGTGACCTCAGTGCAATGGCAATGATGTGCACCATCTGCTCAACTGCAATGCATAGTTTCAAGGCTTGTGTGATTACACGGAGCACACTCTCCTGGGCCACTGGGCAACTTCGAAACAGAAGCTCTTTATCTTGCTTACTGAAGCCTGGTCATTCAGTCCCTGGCCCTTTCCATCAACATCCGCCTCTTCTTTCGGTAGACACGGCCAAGCCGGACCATGTCTAAACAAATACCTCTACGGAACGGATGCAAATGAACTCAGTCTTAGGGTGGAGGAGGGAGAAGTAGCCCGAATCTGCATGTTATGTCATGTTATATAGATTTATTGCGATTCTATCAGTTGTGTATGCGGGGGAACAGCTACAATTCCGTAATCAAGTAGCATCAAGTAGGGAAAGGTGCGAACAGTGTCGTAGAAAATATTGACTATAGTGTGGACTTGCTAGTCGTATTGTGTTGGAAGGGATTACGACGCTGCGCCATCATGCAGTCCCTACATGTACTGTCCAAATCCTTGGAGCCAATTGTTCACTAAGTCACTAAGTGCAGTGTCAGTGACGGAATGCAGTAAAGAAACATCCAAGAAAACAAAGGATGCGCCTGCTTGTGCGCAAAGCTCGTGAACAAATTTCTGCTTAGCACCGCTGTCTGAAGGACATTGCGGTATTTGTGTCCCGAAGTCAGAGGCAAGGGATTCCAACAAGGAGCGGCAGCATGCGAACCTAAGTCTTCAGAACATTTTTTCCGACATGTTTACCTTTCAGGCCTTGGCAGAGACAAAAAAACAAACAAACACATGATTCAATGCTGATTCAAAATTGCGATGGACTCACACACTCTCTCTCTCTCTCTCTCGCCATCGCCATCTCAGACAGTTCAATAGAAGCTGAAAGTGAGCAGGTGGTGTGCTATTTTGAGCGATTACTTACAGCGTATTTTAATAACTAAATAATATAAATGAAAAAATATATTACATATAAACGAGACAGATCTTGGATGATCTTAGATATTACATTACATCACAATACCATACAATACCCCAAATGTCCCGAATTCGCTAGTGGGCATGCTTCCCATGTCTGGGTTCTTTATGGTCATCATGTGCATGAGTCCCAAGTATCAGTTGACAGTAAAGCCTTAGACATCTTAGACGCTCAACGCCATTAATCAGCAAAACATTGCCCGGGTTTGACCATCTGAAGACATCCCCAAGCATCCCTCGCTGCCATGTTTGCCTGCCCAGTAGCGCATCTGTAATGTGATCCTCACATCGCACCAGCTGTGCTCGGCCGCAGCTTGTGGCTGAAACATCGCGGCCGCTGCGCAGGGATGCAAAAAAGAGCGGAAATATGGCTGAAAAACCTAGATGCGGTCGATTCAAATCCTTCAAGTGCTTCTGGTAAGCCTCCGTGAAGTTGCGCAAAGCTTCCTGGGTCATCAAAGACATCTCTTACAGTTTGACATCTCTTACGGCTTGTACATATGCATACTTGAGTGCTCACTTGTATATTGCATATTATTGCATAACATATACCACCCCGCAACTCTCGGCCAAGCATCTTCAAAGCGTCCAGTCTCCCTCAGGCACTTGGCAGCTTCCATCAAATGCTGGTGGACGGGACATTCTGGGTCCCAACGCAGAGGCAGCCATGAGGGTCCTGGCAGCTCTTCTTGTATTTCGGGCTCCATCATGAAAATTTGATCTGCAAATGGCAACGAGCAATGCAAAAGGGCGCAGAAGGATTGAAATGCGAATGACCAGCACCTACCCACACCATCCCACACCCTCAAACAATACCACGGTCGAAGTCGTCACAGCCCGGCTGTTGCAGCCCACCACCCGCACAAGCACCAGCAGCCGGCATCAGCAGCAGCACAATCCTAGAGTGCAAACTGTGAGTTCATCCATGAACAGGTTCAACCATGTTCATCCATGCATAGCAAAGGGTGGAGAAGCTCGTGATTTGCACAATTTGGCGCGATTTCACATCTGCTCCAAAAATCCTAGCTCGATGACAACTGACTACTATGCATGGCCTCAATTCAAGAAAGAACTCAATGCTCACAATCCCATGGAAGTGTTGAACCCCGCTCCAATCGGATACGAAGCAATCCAAAAGAACAGCGTTAGCACCATGCTCAAGTGCTACAAGCTGATCAGGCTGCTCGTTTATCCCCAATGCATACCAGTGCCATCCAGCCTACTTAGATCTACGCAGTCTCCTCAGAGCTGCTGAAACTTCAGCCCTGAGAGCCTAGGCGATCTCTCTCTCTTACTATTTACACCTATTTACTAGCAGCTTAGTGTGGCATCTAAATTCTGCCCGGCTGCATTTACAAACTTCGAATTTGGGTGAATTTAGCGGATTCTGGTGGAAGAAGCTCTGGCTGCATCAAGCCAGATTTTGCGTAAGTGGCTCGGATACCAGGTTCTGTGGATCTGCATCGTAAATGTTTTGCAGCACTAGCCGACATCATTGAAGATAAATGACATGTCATAAATATTCATAAATAATGTCAATCAATAAATAGTAGAACTTGTGAAAAGATTTGATGAAACAAGCATCCGAGTGGTATAAGATTCATGCAGCGCAACAGGCCCAGCATTGTCAGGAAAAAGAAACGGCTTCATGCACTTGCCATCTGCTCCTGGCCGTGAAAGCTGCAAGACAGCAAATGGACGCAAGGCGAACTGCCCATATTCTATTGCTTCTTGGAAGGCGCGGTAGGGCAGCAGCAGCAGCGGCAGCTGCAGCAGCGGCAACAACAACGACAACGACAACGACAACAACAACAACAACAACACCAGACTTAAACACCACAGACTTAAAATGATTTATATAAGCGGCACATCCCCTATATTCGTTTGCGAAGGGCACATGCCATCAATGATCCATGAACTGTCCAAAAAGAGACGCGTCCAGAATCAACATAGCGGCGGCTGCAGCATGGTGCGTCAATGATTTCCCAGATACTGGTATTGTGCTCACTTTTGCGGGCTGAAGAAATAAGATAAGATTACATAAAACCATCTATATAAGCCGACCGGCCCAATCGCTACAGTCCCGTCCTGAATGCCTTCGAGAACTTCGCTTCCTCCGCAACATGTGCAGCGTAGCTTCTTTTTCTTCTTTTTTTTTCTTCTTCATGCAATTGATCTGTCTCTGCCTGCCGTCATTTGCATTATGAGACTGCACGAAACTAAAGTGAACAAGGATGAAAATTCCTCTGGCCCATGGGTCCGCTTCGAAGAAATCCAAGAAAGCAAAAAAGTCAGCGAACGCAAATGCAACTGCCAGTCTCTGCAAACTGCTGTTTTCCGTCAAATAGAACTATCAAGATCCATTAATCCATCAAGGTCTAATTAATTTGTGCATGGTCCGGCGATGGAGTTGTTGGCAGGATGGGCATGAATTAGCGTCCTTGTGGTTGGCCTTGGGGTTGCATCTCCATCAGTGGCGCGGCTCGCACATCACGCGCTTGGCCGCCCTGGTTTTGGATCTGATGTTGATGAGATCCTCGGCGAGAGGAACTGGCTGAGCCCATCGAGGAGTCCGCATCTTCTTCGATCTGTTTCTGGACCAATGCCTCGTAGAGAGCCGGTGCTTTGCGGCGTAGGAAATCAGCCTCTTCGGCGAAGCAAACGATAATCGTACAAGAACCACTCTTCAATGGCATCAAAGCTGCTAATGAGCTGAGAAAACCAATGCAGAAGCAGAACGCAAAGACTGTGGTGTTGTAGCCTCCAACTACCACGTGAAGGTGATACACCAAGAAACCCGTAGCTCCACTCAAAAGTCCTACCATGAGTGCCCCTAGGAAAGGCACTAGGTCGATCAAGCACGCAGCAATAATGGAATCAATACTGGCAGCATACCACACTGCAAACCTGGGTTTTGTGAAGAAGTTTGCGAGGAAAAAAGTGAAATTTCAAGCCTCAATCACAAAGGCTTCATGAATACCAGTAGGACCGCGCAAGGCGGTGGCGGAAGTTTCACAGGTAGGAAACCTATAGGAGAGGTGAATTGCGGTGATGCATAGATGGCAGAGCGAACCACTGATGGACCGAAAGGAGGTTGAAATGTGACTCTCTCTATCTTCCTCTTCCCTCTCCATCTCCCTCGACCTACCTATCTATCTATCTACCTATCTATCTATCTACCTATCTACCTATCTACCTATCTACCTATCTACCTATCTACCTACCTACCTATCTATCTATCTATCTATATATATATATACCTGCTTACCTAATCATTTCATCTGACCTATTCTTATCTGCGTTAATCTTATCTTTTCTTAGCTTATGTTATTTTATCTTATCTCTCTATCTGCCTATCTCTCTCTCTCTCTCTACCTATCCTTCTTCCTTCCTATCCATCTACCTATCTACCTAACTATCTCTTTCTCTTTACCTATTTTTTCCTCCTATCCACCTACCTATCTATCGATCGATCAATCTATGTATCTCTCTCTCACTACCTATGTCCTTTTCTATCCATTTTTTTTTTCTCTCTCTCTCTCTGTCACTTTCTCCCAATCTCTGTATCATTCTTCTTTTCTCTGTGTCTCCCTATCTATCTATCTATCGATCTATCTATCTATCTCTCTCTCTCTCTATCTCTATCTCTTATCTATCCATCCATCCATCTAGATTAAATATCCAGCTCCCTATTCGAAAGGAAGCAATTATGCGAGACTTCCTTGGGTCCAAAACGATGGGTGCAATTTTGCGAGGCTTTCTCAAACGATCTCACATGGTCCACCTCCAAGACCTCCTCACACATTCAAATTGACAGCATCAAAAACAAAGCGATTCTGCGAGACTTGCTTGAAACGGAGAAGTTAGGTGCAGAGGTGACGACCTCGTACCAATGCGTTTTGTGATTTTCCATCCCATGTTTCTAAAGTAGTGCGCCCGCTAGGAAACAGTGAGGCCCAGTCATACAAAGTGCTGCACCTGTCATGGAAAATAATCTGAGCAAACCTGACAGTTTGATGCTCCAAAATGCAACCCCTCTCAGGAATCAGCGCCCTGACCTCAGAACATGTCTGATGGAGATGTCTCTTGTACTGGCACCTGCCACGTGGAATGCAGATCTGTTCAAACATCCCACGCCTGCCACCGTTTTCCAAAGTGTCACGAAACCCTCCCGTTTCGCTCACTTTTTTGAAGGCGCAGAATCCATCAGAATCCATCAAAATCCATTGCGCCTGCCACAAACATGACGGTTGAACGTCCAAAGGGTCCGAACGTACTTTACGTACTTTTAGCATTTTGATTTGGAAACGCGCTTCGTGCCACATCCAAAAATGCTCCGAGCATGAAGAGTCATGAAAGTCATGAAGTGTCTTTGACAATGTGCTTCGCGCCACAACGGCGTGCACTTTCAACATCTCAACTTCCAAAAATCGTCCGAACCCTGGGTGCTCTTAACATTTTTCCCGAGAGCGCCTGCGAAGGGTTCTTCGTAAAAAAGCAGCCGTTGTAATACATCTTCACACCCTCACATCTGCTGATCTACATCTTCACGCCTTCACATCTGCTGATCTACATCTTCACACCTTCACATCTGCTGATCTACATCTTCACACCTTCACATCTGCTGATCTACATCCTCATACCTTCACATCTGCTGATCTACATCCTCATACCCTCACATCTGCTGATCTACATCTTCACACCCTCACATCTGCTGATCTACATCTTCACGCCTTCACATCTGCAGATCTACAGCTTCACACCTCCACATCTGCAGACCTACATCTTCACACCTTCACCTCTGCGGATCTACATCTTCACACCGTCACATCTGCAGATCTATATGCATCTTCACACCTTCACATCTGCTGATCTACATCTTCATACCCTCACACCTGCTGATCTACATCTTCACACCTTCACATCTGCAGATCTACATCTTCACACCTTCACATCTGCAGATCTGCTTCTTCGCACCCTCACATCTTCTCTCGCTCTTCTTTCTATCTCTCTCTTAAGGCGGGGGCGGTGCCGCCGGAGCGCCACGAAACGCAACCCTTTCGCACGAAATGGACGTTGGACGTCCAAAACCTAGGTAAAATTGCGATTGTAGTTAGTCAGCCGCAACCCTTTCGCACGAAATGGACGTTGGACGTCAAAAACTGAGGTAACATTGCGATTTTACTTTGTCCATCGCAACCCTTTCGCACGAAATGGACGTTGGACGTCAAAAATTGAGGTAAAATTGCGACTTTGAAGTATCCATGCATCGCAACCCTTTCACACGAAATGGACGTTGGACGTCAAAAACTGAGGCAAAATTTCGACTTAATTTGAAGTATCCATCGCACGAAATGGACATTGGACGTCAAAAACTGCAGTAAAATTGCGATTTTACTTGGCCCATCGCAACCCTTTCGCACGAAATGGACGTTGGACGTCAAAAACTGCAGTAAAATTGCGATTTTACTTGGCCCATCGCAACCCTTTTGCACGAAATGGACATCAAAAATTGAGGTAAAATTGCGATTTTGAGGTGTCAATCGCAACCCTTACACGCGAAATGAGGTTCGATCGCCAAAAACTGCAGTATGATTTTACTTGGCCCATCGCAACCTTTTCGCACGAAATGGACGTTGGACGTCAAAAATTGAGGCAAAATTGTGATTTTGAGGTGTCAATCGCAACCTTTACACGCGAAATGAGGTTCGATCGCCAAAAACTGAGGTAAAATTGCGATGTCACGGGTCCGGTCTCTGTGTGTGAAAGTGTTTTTTTTGTAAAAGCTTCGGTGTGTGAAAGCGTCTGTGTGTAAAGTGTCTGTATGTAAAAACGTCTGTGTGTAAAAGGGTCTGTGTGTAAAAGGGTCTGTATGTAAAAGCGTCTGTGTGTGTAAAAGCGTCTGTGTGTAAAATGGTCTGTGTGTAAAAGGGTCTGTATGTAAAAACGTCTGTGTGTAAAAGCGTCTGTGCGTAAAAGTCTGCGATTGAGACATGCAATGGTTGGATTGAAAATTGCTTTCTGGAAGTTTCTGTGTGTGTAAAAGCCTCTGTGTGTGAAAGTGTTTGTGTGTAAAAGCGTCTGTGTGTAACCGTCTGTGTGTAAAAGCGTCTGTGTGTAAAAGCGTCTGTGTGTAAAAGCCTCCGTGTGTAATAAAAGCGTCTGTGTGTAAAGGCCTCTGTGTGTGAAAGTCTTTGTGTGTAAAAGCGTCTCTGGGTAAAAGCGTCTGTGTGTAAAAGCCTCTGTGTGTAAAAGCGTCTGTGTGTAAAAGCTTCTGTGTGTAAAAGCGTCTGTGTGTAAAAGCGTCTATGTGTAAAAGCGTCTGTGTGCAAAAGCGTCTGTGTGTAAAAGTCTGCGATTGAGACATGCAATTGTTGGATTGAAAAATTGATTGGCAATATTTCATGCCTCTGCCGCCATGATTGCCCTTAATTGAATACATTATCGAAACACCACATACCACCACTATAGTGAAATCTGGACAGAAACTGTTGATAACTCTTAAATCAAGCTCTGGCGCTGTCACTTGCAGTCAGCCCAGTCCAGTTTCAGAAAAAATCTGGCGTCATGTGAATGAACCCGGAACTGGCTCACCTTTGACAAAGACTGGGCCACCACATAATCAGTCATGCAAAGGCCTGAGTTTCATGCAAATTTCTGGACACTGCACTTTCACCAAACCACCATACAACAAATGAAACGCAAGGTGAAAGATGTTGAAGAATGTTGAAGGCATGTTCGATTGAAACTTCAGACTCCTCTAGCCTTTCCAGCAATATTACTATATGACCCAGGTTTGGTCGGCAAGGCAGCCTCGTCTTTATCCTACAGATAATATTGGAAATAAGATTATGTAATCATCATTCATAATTTGCCCAAGTTTGGCCGAGCTTCTTCAATCTATAATGGTGCTCGTCTGTGACTGGAAGGTGTTCGAGTGGCAATCCAGCTCCACCCTTCGGTCGCTGACCCGGACGGTGGGGCTCCTGACCCTTGGTCCAAATCCCCTTCAGTGCGTGGAAGGACTCGATCGCCAGGCCTGGGTCCAGTTCCAATCGATGGCATTCGCCCTCCTCTTTGAAATGCCGCAGGTATCGCAGCTCGGAAGGCACTGAGCCAGAAATCAGCACCAGCACCCGATCCCCAACAGTGAGCTTGTTTGCGGCGATGGCTTGGATGCAATTTCTCACCTTCGCCATGACCTGTTCAGAGACGGCAGCTGGGCAATTCTCTCCGAGTTCCGAACAATTATTTTTGGGCCAGAGGTAAAATTGAGGTAAAATTGCGATTTCACGGGTCCGGTCTCTGTGTGTGAAAGTGTTTGTGTGTAAAAGCTTCTGTGTGTGAAAGCTTCTGTGTGTAAAAGCCTCTGTGCGTGAAAAGTGTTTGTGTTTAAAAGCGTCTGTGTGTGAAAGCGTCTGTGTGTAAAAGTGTCTGTGTGTAAAAGCGTCTGTGTGTAAAAGGGTGTGTGTAAAAGTGTCTGTGTGTAAAAGGTTCTGTGCGTGTAAAAGCCTCTGTGTGTAAAAGTGTCTGTGTAAAAGCATCTGTGTGTAAAAGCTTCTGTGTGTAACAGCGTCTGTGTGTCACAGCTTCTGTGTGTAAAAGCTTCTGTGTGTAAAAGCGTCTCTGTATAAAAGCGTCTCGTTTCTGGACATCCACAGCATGATGGTACCGAGCTTTTTCGGCAACGTGTGTGTGTGTGGGAATTACCAGCATCATGGTACCGAGCGTCCTGTGCACTTTTCTTGCTTACATTATATTTCTTTATGTTTTCTTTGTATATCTTCTTTCTTTCTCTTTCTCTTTCTCTCTTTCTCTCTTTCTCTCTTTCTCT